ACTAAATTGTCATTTATGAAAAGGCACATTAGTGAAAGTAAAAGGAAAAATAAACTTTAAACTTGGTTAAAGATACTGGAAAAATAATACAAACTTAAAAGGACTAAAATGAAGGACAAAAAATATCCTTTGTTGCATATCAAAGAGAACAATAAAAGGAATAGAAAGTAGATCCCAAAACTTGAATAGGCATTTAACAAAAAGAAGAAATACATGAAATTAAAAAGTGGTATATCACATATTAGAATAGATGGACTCAACAGAGTACATTTGTTGTATATTGACCAATATACAACAAATGTTTGTTTCTTACAAAATAATTAGCAAAATAATTAGCTGCAGTTTCTATATCAGTTCCAATTGTTTCTTTGGGAAACAAATGAGCATTGTTTTGCCAAGTTGCCTGTTGCTGTAATTTACTCCTAAGATAGGCGCAGGTCCCATAAGCACTAGGAAGTATGTACAGGCATACCTCGGAGACTTTGTAGGTTCAGTTCCACACTGCTACAATAACGGACGTACGGCAATAAAGCATCTTGCAGAATTTTTTTGCTTTTCCTTTGCATATAAAAGCCATATTTACACTATACTGTAGCTATAGCGTGCAGTAGCATTTTGCTCTTTCTTTTTCTTTTTATTTCAAATTAATGTAAGGGTACACATTTTTAGGTTACAATGTTCTCACTTCTGAGGTAAAGTTCAAGTTGTAGAAGAGACCCTCACATTGTAGCATGCTGTTCCTAAAAAATGTACGTAAACAAGAAATACTTTATTGGTAGAAAATAGTAACTATCATATGAGCCTTCAGATAATAGGAATGTTTTTCTTAGTGGAAGGTCTGTCCTCAGGGTTAACGGCTGTTTACCGAGGTGATGGTGCTGAAGATTGGGTTAGCTGTGGCAATTTCTTAAAATAAGGAAAGAACGAAACTTGCCACATTAATTAAGTCTTTCAGAAAAGATTCCTTCATAGCGTACAATGCTATTTGATAGCATTTAACCAACAGTAGAACTTCTTTCAAATTTGGAGCCAATCTTCTCAAACCCTTAGTGCTTTATCAACTAAATGTATGTAATATTCTAAATATTTTATTGTCATTTCAACAACATTCAAAGCACCTTTACCAGGAGTATCCTCCATCTCAAGAAACTTTGTTCATCCATAAGAAGCAACTCCTCAAATGTTCAAGTTGAGTGGTGAGATTGTAGCAATTCAGTCACAGCTCTGGCTCCCCTTCTAATTCAGGCTTTTTTGCTATTTTCACCATCTCCATAGGTACTTCCAGGACTGAAGTCTTTAACCTCTCAAAGTGATCCATCTGTTTCAAATCAACTTCTTTCAGTTTTCTGTTAATGTTGATATTTTGACCTCTTCCTGTGAATCATGAATGTTCTTAATGGCACCTAGAATGGTGAATTCATTTCAGAATGTTTTCAATTTACTTTGCCCAAATCTTTCATGGAACCACAGTTTATGGAAACTATGGCCACACAAAATGTATTTCTTAAATAAGAGTTGAAAATCAAATTACTCCTTGATCCATGGGCTGCAGAGTAGATGTAGTGCTAGCAGGCATGAAAACAACATTAATCTCTCTTTATACCCCATCTTTCTTTACACCCCATCATTAATCGCTCTGGGGTGACTAGGTGCCTTTTCTGTGAATAATAATATTTTGAAAAAAGTAATTGTTTACTGAGCAGTAGATCTCAACAATGGGCTTAAAATATTTCCTAAACCATGCTATAAACAGATGAGCTATCATCCACACTTTGTTGGTCAATTTGTAGAACACCAGCAGAGTAGATTTAGCATAATTCTTAAGGGGCCTACACTTTTCAGAGTGGTAAATGAGCATGGGCTTTAACTTAAAATCACCAGCTGCATTACCACCCAACATGAGTGAGCCTGTCCTTTGAAGTTTTAAAGTGTAACACTGACTTCTCTCCAGCTGTTAAAGTTCTAGATGACATTTTCTTCCAATAGAAAGAAAATGTTTAATCTACATTGAAAATCTTTTACTTAGTGTAAACTACTTCACCAATGATCTCAGCTAGATCTACTGAATAATTAGCTGCAGTTTCTATATCAGCTCCTGCTGACTCATCTTGTACTTTTATGTTCTGGAGACAGCTTCTTTCTTGAACCCTCATGAATCCACCTCTGCTAGCTTCAAACTTTTCTTCTGCAGCTCCTCCAACTCTCTTAGACTTCACGGAATTGACTAGAGTTAGGATACTGGTTATGATTAGGTTTTGACTTAAGGGAATGTTGTGGCTAGTTTGATCTTCTGTTCAGAACCCTAAATCTTTCTCCTTATCAACAGTAAGAGTTTTTTGCATTCTAAGCATTTATGTGTGCACTGGAGTAGGGCTTTAAATTTCCTTCATGAACTTTTCCTTTGCATTCACAACTGCTGGCACCAGCGGCCTAGTTGTTGGCCTATATTGACTTCTTCAATAACTTCATCATTTCTAGCTTTGATTGGAAGTGAGAGACGTGTGACTCTAACTTTCATTCATGGCAGGATTATGAATTTGTCCCATTTCAGTATTTTTGTGTCTAGGGGAATGGAGAAGTATGAGAAATGATAGAGAGGGCAACATCTGGTCAGTGGAACAGTCAGAACACACACAACGTTGTGGCTGTGGTTTGTGGCACCCCACGACTATTATAATAGTAATCTCAACGATCATTGATAACAGACCATCATAACAAATGTAATGCAGTGGAAAGTATTGAAATATTGTGAATTTTTCCAAAATGTGACACAAAGACATGATGTGAAGACATGCTGTTGGAACAATGGCACTGTTAGATTTGTTTGAAGCAGAGTTGCCAGAAACCTTCAATTTATAAAAAACGTAATGCTTGCTAATCTCAATAAAATGAAGTACAATGAAATGACTTATGCTGGTACAATAATGCATTTTTAACAAGAACAAAACAAACCAGTTCAAATGTCTATGTTTACATGTTTAAACAGGCATATTCACCTAGGAGTTATTTGCTACAACAATAGAAATAAAAAGAACTTGATCTACATATGGGAAAGTTTAGCTGAAACATGGATGAATCTAGGACTAAGTAGAGAAAGCAGAAAGCCATATGTTGAAAATGTCATACGCGTAATAACCCAATGTCCAGAACAACACCCACCTCTGTGAGTTAGGAAGAGCAGTGCTATAGGAAGAGTACAGAGGTATGTGTAAGTTATTAGAAACGTTCTTCCTCTTGGAATGAGCAATTGGCATAGTACTATATATTATATTATACATGATGTCAGCAAACCAACTGATAATAGACTGGAAGAATATATTTGGAACATGTCTCACAAGTGGTAAATATCCATAAACATAATAAGTAAGGAAATACATGAAAATTTCATGTTTTAAATATCCATGACTACTATTATCAGAGGGCAGGTTTTAGTAATTTCTACACATTTTCTATTATATTTATGCACTGTTGGTGTCACTTTGATGCTGCATTTTTTAAATGAGGAAAATTTAAATGCAAATGTCACAGGTACTGTGCAAAGAGTTTATAAGATAATATTAAAAGAAAACTCAATAAAAAAGAGAGTAGGGGCTTTACCATGCTGTGTATGGAAGAAGCCACACATCTCCAGGAAACCTATGAAAATAGGCACAAGCCACTAGTATACCGGGAAGTGAGATTTTACAAAAAATAACAAGTTGTTTTTCGTTCATTACTGAGGAGATATGATAAGGTTGTTTATATGCAGTGTTGTGGTGGTGAGAAGAAATGGAGGCCCTGGGTTGGATGTGATGGTGTGGTGGGGCGCTTCCTCTAGAGCAGCCTCCAGAAACACATGCACATGCTCACAGAACTGCCCGCAAACCTTGTTCACTGTAGTACTTTTTCATAGTAGTGAAACACTAGAAATAGCTTAGAGTCCCTAAAAAGAAATCATTTTTTTAAACTTGCAGTATATTTATCTTCACAAATCTTGATGCAGCTCTTGATAAAAATCATAATTCTACAGGATGCAACACATAATATATGGATATTTATGTGTTGATACAGAAAGATCCTTTAGACACATTTAAGTAAAAGAGCCTCAAGTTAAAGAACAGTCTGTATTGCATAATCTTATTCATGTTAAAAATGTGTGTGTAAAAAGGTTGATGTACGCCCATTCATATTTACGAAGAGGTAGAAAAATTACTGGGATGGTTGCACTTTATATGATTGCCAGTGGTTATCTCTGGGGCAACGGAGATGAAGAGGCACGTTCCAAAGTTTCTGTCCTGCTTCAATTGTTTTATTGCAATGAAATAGACATGTATGACTACATAGCTGGCTGCATTACCTGCCTGTGTGACTTTTCCCGAGGTAGGTTGCATTAATAACTACTCTGCATGCAGTATCAGCAGAAGCAGTAGGTATTTATGACAGCTGACCCAGCAATTAGGCTTGAGTGTTCCTGGGTGGAAAACACTGTCAACCAGGTCAAAATACAAGGTGAAGCCTGACTCATAGGTACAGATTTTAAGTCAGAAGAAAATACTGAAGCAGTTGGCTAGAGCTCCAGATGCAGCCTAATCTATTGCTACTAGTAATGGATCAAGCAAACGATGGTTAAAGACGCAGTTACTGACACAACAGGAATGCGTCTATGGTAGTGCAAAAGAGAATTTGTAATTGAAAAAGCTTCTTAAATGAAATAATGTATTATGTGTCATTCTTGATTATGTGAACTGCAGGTCATATCTGGGAGACTATCTTAATGAAGATTTTTACAATTGAATTACTTTTTTATTTTTACAGTTAATAAATTAAAAATCAAAATATTTTTATTATGGCATCTAGAATAAACATAAAATATTTTTAAATGATATATGAAATAACATTGAGATATTTCCGAGATGTCATGAAGTAAGAATATATTTCATCTGGTAAAATGCTAAGGAGACAGAACTAAAAAGTTTCATTTTAAAATATTAATCATGTGCCATAACATGCTTGTTTTTCAGGTTAAACTTTTTTCGGGATGTTCCTGACTTCAGAGTGTTAGCATGTGGTGGAGATGGAACTGTAGGATGGATTTTGGATTGCATAGGTAATGCAAACATATATGCAATGTTGGTGGTGTGACAGTGGTTGCCGTAAATTGTGTTTGATCTATCCTATCTACCTGTGTAGCCTGCTAGCATCAGAGTCTTCGGAAACAGCGATACAATTGTAGTTCTGGCAGGTGCATACTATTTACTGGTTTTATTTATTCTTCTAGAGTTCGAGATTTTTGCTAACATAAAAGTATACAAGTAACTAGAAAATGTATGTAATCCATTTCTCACAGTATCAGGGTACAGGCTATCTGGTGTTTATCCCAGGCAGAGAGCCAACGGGGCTTAGCATTCGTAATAAAGTCTGTGCCAAATAGATGCACTTACTTTATTTCAATGTGAAGCCTCAAAACTTTGTCCTCCATGTACATTCATATTATCATCACCATTGTCATAGCTAATTTTTATTTTTCATGTGTTCTGTGATAATCCTTTCTAAGGCTTTTGTCTAAATTATCTTGTTTATTCCTTCCAACTCAATGAAATAGGTAGTGCTAATAATCCAGGTTAAAAGGTAGGAATGTAAGGCTTGGAGGAGGTAAATGACTAGAACAAAGTCTTCTTACTGTGAACTAACAGAGCTTGGATTAGAACCCAACTTGAATCTTATTCTGTATTACCTCTCTCATTAAATTTAAAGAGTTTGATTTTTGTAAGCAAACAAAACAGGTACCTGATTGAGAATAAAAGACAAGTATGCAGCACAAGAAAATCTTGATACATTCAGAAAAACTATTTGCTTTTTCAGGTCCAGTCAGTTATTAGAACTGATTATCAGTTACAAAAACAGGTCATGCATTGGACTTTCTGAGAAGATAAATCCAAACAAATACAGTATAACCTCTGTAAGTTGACTGCCCGCAGGACTGCAACAAACTGGTCAATGTCCAGAGGTGATCAACATAAGGAACTACAATACAGACATGAGATGCATGTCCAGGCTATGAAAATTAGGTCAAGTTCAGGACATGGTCAACTATGGAGGTTCTACTATGTTTACCTTTTTAGCTCTCATTTCAATTACTGCACTAACCGATTATTTATTAACACGAGGCTCTTTCATGAAAGGAATTGATTCAAAATAAGTTTTGCTCTCTATATATACTTTGAAACAAATTTCTATTTAGTGAATGCAGATGTATACCAAAAAACCTTTAAACATTAACGTATGTTGTCAGCAACACTTTTGAACAGCAGTTAGCAACTTAAATGTAATTAAAGAGAAATAGTGAATATTCTGATCATGACTTTCCAATAAAACATGTAAACCATTTTTACATCCTCTTTCTAAGAAAAAAACTGGAATTCAAGAATTGCAAAAGTCATTAAGTTAATTGAAAAAATGTCAGACTTGTGAGGACTTTAGAGTGAAAATAATAGCAATTTTTAGCTTATTTTAGCTTTCAATATCTAAATCTTGGCTATTTTCTTTGTGTCGCTCACTAAATTATCTAACCCCTCTAGCCTTACATACAGATATGCACTGACTTTTAGGGGCTAAAGAGGGAGAAAAAAAACTCAAGAAAAGAAAGGGATTATAAATTTGTGAGAGTAATTCGAGGCATGTGATGACTCAAAGGAGGCATATGGAATGTCAGTGGCAGAGATCTTTACTGGTCTGAACCCAACGCACCATGCACTGTAAAGATTAATCTCACAGAAACTCTGCTGACCTCTGTGTAATCCAACTGTTAATGGATTGCATCCTGTGTGCTCAGACCAAAAGCAGCACCATGAGTAGGAACGATTCAAGGACATTTTTAAGCAATTCACTCATTTTAGAATTCAACAGTTTTTTAAATATTTTACTCCATTAAGTAAAATACACCTAGAGTTGATGTTACAAAAATTCTTTATATAAGAACCCACCTATCCACCCTGCTTACATCTCTGCGAGTGAATTTCTATGCTGCATACCCCTGTATCCCTAGGGATTGTCATGGACAGAATGAAAATACACCACAATCTTTATCTGAGTTAATATACTTTAAAAGTTTCCCTCTTGTATGAATTTTTAAAATCCTTGTCACTTTTGAATCAGATAGTATTTGTGTTTTAACAATAGTGAAAAATGCATACAAATTGACCATAATTCATAATAATATATGTGTATATCTATAAAATAAATTTTATTCTATAAGTACCCAGTATTACAGAATCCTTTGGCTAATGTCAGGATGTATTTTTATTTACTTTTGTTTTATCTGAGTTCAGTATTTTATTTTATTTTAATTTTTGATTCTGCAGAAAAGGCCAATGTAGCCAAGCATCCTCCAGTTGCAATTCTGCCTCTTGGGACCGGCAATGATCTAGCAAGATGTCTGCGATGGGGAGGAGGTAAAAGAGCTATAATGACAAAAGCAGAAACACAGTACACAACACCCCTTGTCTCCCCCACCCAAAAAAAACCACAAACTAACAAACCTGTATTTCTTCACTGTGTGACAACTAGTATATGACTTTAACCAATATAGTTGATGGCATATGTCATTGTTCTTGAACTATATTCCATGGCAGAATAACAAATAATGGACAGAAAGACTTTGGGTTTGGGGCTTTAAAGTGATACTAATTATAGACTTGAACTTGGGAAGGATAAGTTTACAAATCTCTCTAGTTCGGGTTTTTTTTCTTAAAGTAAACATAGACGAACTCTAGGGTAATGTTGACATTAACAGCTTAAGAGATGTGCAGTAAAATCAAAGACGAAAAAGATGAAAGACTTAATTTTTGAGACCAACTCTATGCTAGCCAGTGTGTTTTGCTCTTAGCCTTCTGTAGTGAGAATAGAAAACAAAAGGACCTAATGTTCTAGTGACACATACAGTCATATGTAAACTGTGAGACTTTCTACTAACAAGTAAACAAACAGCTCATCAGTGTAAGGAAGGGCCTCACTGGGGAAAAGACTGGAGGGGAAACCCAATGGCCAGTTAATGACATGGCCATATAAAACTGAAGATGAACTTAAGGCAGAAGGAATACCAAGTTCATAGGCCCCCAGAGGCATCAAGATACTTGACATATTCAAGAAACTGAAAATGGAATAATGTGGATGGTCCAGGGAAAGTAAAGGGAGACTATTTCAAGATGAAGTCTTAAAATACTTTGAAGAGTCACTAATGGGCTATAATGGGCTATACTTATCTGAAAGTCACTGAGCACCACAGATTTGGATAAAGAAAGAGAAATTGAATGCTAAACAGTTTTAGCATCTAAACTTAGAGAAGTTTGAAAAGTGTCTACTGAGTGTGAATCAGAGCCTTTGGAGAGCTTATTAAAAATATAATGGCCTGACTCCACCCCACATGTGCTGAATGGAAATCTCTGGGGGTTGTCCCTGACCAGATGATTTTCTTTTTAAATAAATTCCCTAAGTAACTCTGATTTACAACAAAGTTGGAGAACAATTCCATAAACATCTGGCGAACTAGCTCAAAGTTGTGTACACGTTAGGCAAACAGCATTGACAGCTAATCAAAAACTAAGTATACAATCTATTGAAGATGATCAGTAAGGATAGACTTTAATAAGAGTACTTTCGTGTATTGAGCTAAAATTCATGGCAGCTGAAGAAATCAAAATATGTATAACCATTGCTTATAAGATTCTTATATTTACCAATGTTCATACATGTGCTTTGATTAAAAAGAGGAGAAATCTATATAACTCTTGCTACATTCTTCTGGAACATATATTTTATATTCAAAAATTACTAAATTTTGCTTTTTGTTCTAAATTGGCAATTGGCTAATATCTTTTCTTTCACATTTTCATCTTTTATTGGTGTGCATTTGTGTGGTTAGTGCATACTTGACAGATATTTACTTTACAGTTGTTTGCATTTATTCCTTCTCCATTCCTTATTCAAGTTCAGGATTGCAGGTGGCCAGAGCTCATCCTAGCAGTTCAGGGTCAAAGGCAAGAACCAACCCAGACAGGCCACCATTCCATGGCAGAGCAGAACCATACATAACACTCACACTTGCTCATATTGGAATAATTTAGACACATCAATTAACCTAACATACACATATTTGGGATGTGAGAAGAAACCTCAACTCTTAAATATGATAGAGAAATCTTTGGCATATGCTAAAGATTCTTGCAAAGCCATATAAAAGATACTACACATGGACACAGGCATGGGGGGCATGTGTCCATTATCTATGAGTGATGAATGCTCCGTGAGTCCCAGTATATGTGGGCACGTTTCTAGGTTCTGGATACACACTGAGAAAATGTTTATCTCCTACCCTTTTAGAGATTACATTTTTCTTGAGTATATAGATAATAAAGCAATACATATTATAATGTAAATTTATAAAATGAGATCAGGAAAATGGAAAAATGAATAATGGAGAGGGATATTTAGCTAGAGGATTAAGAAGACCTCCTTGAGGATGTAACCTGTAAGCTGGACCTATCATTTGAGAAGCAGGGAGAAATAGCATCCTGCATCACAGGACTGAAGGAAGGAAGCCTGGAGGAGGCAGCAGTGGAAAGATAGTGAGAGAAAGCCACTGCGAGAGGTCTAGAAAGGCAGTCTGGAGCCACACAGTACAGGGCTTCTTTGTCATGGTAAGAATTTTATTTGCTTGATTTTGAAGTGCAAACTGAAGGTTTGAATGAGTTTCAGAAGCGCAGTGACACAATGATTGACGTGTTTTCAAATATACATTAATTTGAGGAGGAAAATATACTGGCCAGAAAATGTGAAAACATGGAGAACTCTAGTTTTCCAAGTGATAACTTCTATCCAATTTGCAGTGGATTGGATATGAGGTTTGGGGAAAGCAGGGTATCATGATGCCCAAGATGAGCAGTTAGGGAAATAGAGAAGCCAGTTGTTAGAGCTTATTAATGAAGAAACATGCTTTAAAGGAGGATTATTTCTTGCACGATGTAACTTTGTGCAAGTTGCTTAAGAATTGTGATATTTAGATTTATCAGAATTTGAAGAAAATAGCATTGCCTATCTTGTAGGTTCTTGCGCCAAACTGTAAAATTGCTTTGCTCTGCTTTCGTGCTGAGGACATTATGAAGTTATAGTAATTATTACCTTGTAAAACATTTGTAAGAAAAAAATGTTTTATTCAACCAATAATCACTTAGTTAAGGGCAGAAAAATATATTGACTTAGACGCCACTTTTTTACAAGAATGTATTTTTGGTCTTGTATATCCAAAAGACCAAAAATCACTTTATAACAAAGATTTTTGCACAAGATTGTTCATTATAATTCAATTCATAATACCCAAGCCCATGTGCCCATCAATCCATGAATGGATTAACAAATTGTAGTATATGTATGCCATAGAATATTATCCAGCCTTAAAAAAGATGGAGACTTTACCTCTTTTACATTTCCATGGATGGAGTTGGAACATATCCTACTTAGTAAAGTATCTCAAGAATGGAAGAAATAATATCCAAAGTACTCAGTACTATTATGAAACCAATTTATAATCACTCACACTTTCATGTGAAGAATAGATCACAACTCTGGCCCGAGATGAAGGAGGGAGGAGGAGGGGACAGGAATGGTGAGTGGAGGTCAGATTGAGGGAGGGTGAATGGTGGGATCACACCTATGGTACATAACGCAAGGGTACATGTCAGATCTATTAAGAATAGAGTATAAATGTCTTAACACAATAATTAAGTAAATGAGATGAGATACATGTTAACCAGTGTGATGTAAGCTCTCCTAATTCTATATGAAATCAGCACACTGTACACCATAAATGCATTAATGTATACATGATCTATGTGTTTATGATTTAATAAAAAATATTTAAAGGAAAAGAAAGAATGTATTTTCATATTTTTAAAAAGGTAGTACTGTGAGAATGGAGGATGTCCTAGGGCGTTTGGAAAATGCTTAATTAGCATTCTCTTTACAACTTTATGGTAATAGGCTAATAAAAATGTAAAGAATTTCTGCAAGCAAAATTTTGTTTGTTCAGAGTTAGGAGGTGAGTCAGAGTTTAAACAGAGCACACTCTGACACATTTGTGGTTGCTTTTCTTCTTGTGATTTTCATTTGTAAAAATTTCTATGACTTTTACATGAATTCAGTTGTTATGTTAACATATTATTTAAAAAATATTACGTTTTCATTTTGTGAGTTTCCTAGCTTCCAGTGATTATAGGCTTTAAATCAAAATAATGAAACTAAAGTATCATCATTTTGTTTGTGTGTAAATAACCTTTTGCTTTCATATTTAGTGGGTTTGTCTCTTTTAAAAATATGATCTATTCAAGTTCAGGAATACTTTTAATAGTTATGTATCATTATTTGACATGCTTTTGCATAGATAAATACAAAGATGTAGGAAATAGGTGTTTGTTAAGTGGGAGATTGCAGTTTGGAGTTCATCTGTGTGAATTACTTCTGAACTGCAGATGTTCTAATTCTCAAAAAAATATTTACTTATTGCCTCTTTCAATTTTATTTGTCATAAAGACTGATTAAAACTAGCCTTCTCACATTTAGCCATAAAAAAAGTTGAAAAATAGTTACTGGTAAATATTTTAAGTTGAGTGACCCTACTACAATCTAGTTGTGATAATTGATTTCCACTGAATTAATTTCTATCATGTTCTCTCCTGGTTAGTTGTTTCTACATTTTTCTAGTGTGATGTTGAACAATGCTGATATAAACCTGAAATATAGCTGAAGATAAAGTTAATATTTGATTTAAAGCACTTTTATTTACTCAAATAAATTTTCTAAATGTGTATATATGTACATATATACATACGCAGACTACACTTACATATTAAATTTATTCACTTATACCTGAAAAACATTGTGCCTATTCTTTTTTTTTAATTAAATCATAACAGTGTACATTAATACTATCATGGGGTACAGTGTACTGTTTCTCTATACAATCTGAAGTACTTTCATCCAACTGGTTAACATAACCTTCATGTCGTCTTCTTAGTTATTGTGTTAAGACATTTTTTTCTACATTTAGAAAGATTCACATGTACGCTTATAGGACGAACCATAGGTGTATTCTTCTAAACAAAAAATAATTTGGAAAATAGTATTTGGAAATACTATATTATATTTAATTCCATATAGAAGAAATACATAAAATTTATTTGGTAAGATATAACACTTCTTGAAAGAAATAAAAAATTAAGAATAAGTTAAACATTAAGACCGAGGTAGAGGGCCAGAGCGCGGTGGTTCATGCCTGTGATCCTAGCACTGTGGGAAGGTGAGGCGAGTGGATTGCCTGACCTCACAGGTTGGAGACCAGCCTGAGCCAGAGCTAGACCTTGTCCCTAAAAATAGCCGGACATTGTGGCCAGAGCCTGTAGTCCCAGCTACTCTGGAGGCTGAGGCAAGAGAATCACTTGAGCCCAAGAGTTTTGAGGTTGCTGTGAACTATAATGCCACAGCACTCTACTGCGAGTGACAAAGTGAGACTCCATCTCAAAAAAAGAAAAAAAAAGAAAAAAGAGGTAGAACTATCAAGAAACATCTGAAATATAAGTAAATATAAATATTGTAAAGTATGTGTTTTAAATGATTCAGTGTTTTACCACTGAATGGAATAATGTTATAGGCATAATAAATTATACTGCATAGTATATATCTTTTAAAATCACATTTGATGCCCTCAATGTTTATATTGTTATAATCATTTCTATGGTACTCCTTGCTGTATGTTTTAACTAGCACCTAATTATTATTATAAACCTACAAGAGGTAAGAAATGAGGATGGCTTCCAAACAGGGTATTTCTAGTTTCTGGTAACCTTCATTTATAATAGCTAATTGAACAAATACGCCTTTCCTGTAACTTTTTCTTCTTTAGGGAATGTTGGCATATGAGAGGGCCTATTTTGTTTTTTACTTTAATGCAATGAGTTTATCTGATGGTATGTATGCTAACACTTTTAATGAGGTCTCTTAGCCTCTGGCATTTCTTTGGTCAACAAATAAATTATTAAGTTACAGGTCAAAAGATAGACACAGAAAAAAAAAAAACTCTGAAAAATTATCCCAATTCTAAAGGTCATTTCAGTTATGTGCATGCTGTACATGTGTGTGTCAGTGTGAAGAGAGATATTATTTAACTTTTAGTACAATATTTCAGATACTGATGTTATCCTAGTAGGATTATCTTGTTGAGAATGCTCTGTTTTCTATGTTTTAGGCCTCATGTACTAACCACCTTGTCTGCATCATCTCCCTCAGTCCTCACTAAGATTTTACAGGGAAGGAAACTAATGTTGAGGGAGGTTAAGACACAAAAACAATAACACCACCAAGGTTAGGCTACAGTCATAACTATAATGATATACACTGACAGATAAATTTAAGAGAAGATGTAATATCAGCAATAACTTTCTTTTCAGGCCATGCTCATCAGCTATCGGTGATGCATTAAAAAATGGATTTGTTGAGCATTTCCTCTAGGGCACACCTGGTAGGAGGAACCGGCATGAGAAAACACAAACAGCTGTATTGCAATGTACTAGTTCTCCTATGTGTCAACGGAGGGGAGGAGGGGCACCTGATTATTTTATTTTCAAAGGGTGGCTTTTAGAAAGAAGTATTACTGTTCACCAATTGAAAACCATGTAGAGGAAACAGACACAAGCCGGCCAAAGATAAGAAGGGTACCAAGAGTAGATAGAATAAACAAGGAAATGAAACAAAGTTAAAAAGTGCAAGAAACTTTACCTTAACGTGAAAGTTGTTCGGTATCACAACAGAGGAAAGAGAATAAAGGGGTGGTAGGGAGAAGTTTAAAATGGCAGGCAGGTTTTGACTTCAACAAGTGAATTTCTGAGTTGGATGCACAGAAAGAAGATCTGGAAGCAGATAATTAATTCCTGTTTGAATGTATTGATGTGAAGTTTTTGATGGGTATGCAATGGGAATGTTCATTTGGCATTTGGATATACTGTGAATTTGCACCACAAGAGAGAAATAGAGTATGTATTGCAAATTGAAGCTAAAAATTAAATCTTGGTGTGAATATAGTAAGATTATAGTTGATTCTTCATTTAGCATTAGAACTTGGTTCAGATGTTTTATTTAGCCTTAGAATGATATACATTCATAATCACCCTCAAACATATGTAAACACAGTGTTTGCTGTTTGTGTAGATTTGTTTTCTCACTGTAATTTTTTTCCCATTAGGCTATGAAGGTGAGAATCTGATGAAAATCCTAAAAGACATTGAAAACAGCACAGAAATAATGTTGGACAGGTGGAAGTTTGAAGTCATACCTAATGACAAAGATGAGAAGGGAGACCCAGTGCCTTACAGTATCATCAATAATTACTTTTCCATTGGCGTGGTAAGACTTTGCACTAAATCTTTTTTTTTTTTTTAACCTGTTCCTGGATAATCACTGTATGAAAATATTATACAATGAAAATTTACTGCTTATAAATAATTTATTTTTATGTCAGCAAAACATCTCTTCTAGTAGGCAATAACAGAGCTTATAAATTTATTTAAAGTCAGTGTATCAGCAATTGATAACTTCTTCATGAGTTAAACAAAGGAAAGAATGTTCTTTGTTATTGGTGTGAATGTTTGTGTTACTAAAATGAAGCTTATAATGGTTTTAAAATTATTTCAAGTTTTTTAGAGTATGCACAAAGCTTCATTTTAGTAAAAACACTGCAACAAATCGTATCGTACTTTGAGATATATGTTATAATATAATTATAGCCAACTAAGCATCTATAGTAAGTCTATGAAAAGGTCTATTCTTAAGTGGTTACTAAATTAAAAGGTGGACTTTTTACTCTATTTTTTTGGAATCTTATACTGAAAGCAAAATATTGGTATTTAAATCCTAAATAAGTTAATAATTTTAGCAATGGTTATGTTTACATTTAGTCAATAATTATGAAATTTGAAGATATATTATCTATAGCATTGTTTTCAATTTAATGATGTCACTCGATGCAAATTTTGTCACATCACATTTTTCTCTCTCTTCCTCTCTCTCTGTCTTTCTCTCACACATACGGAGAGAGAGAGGGGGAGAAAGAGAGAGAGAGAGAGAGATGTAGACTATTAAAAGACTAGTAAAGTATAGAAAGCACTGGTTGAACACACAAACTGAAGCATCAAATACCTGGGTAAGCATCCCTGAGCAAATGATTTAATCTGAGTATCAATTTATTCATTTGTACCATGCTGATTATTATTTCCTCTCTCATACACATAATATGATTAAACGTATAAATTATATACAGTGGACCATAATAAAGGCTACAGTTATAATACAATCGTTACTAATACTATGATAGTTATTGTTACTTGCAAATTATAGATAATGCACCTTGATCCAGAGAAGCTCCCCTATTTGTGGTGGTATGAAAAACAGTATTTTTACCAATTTCAATGGTGTAAAATTATATAGAACTCAATTGATACTCTACACCTTTTAATGATTTTAATAAATTAATCCATTGGCCAGGCATAATGGCTCAGACCTATCATGGTTCCACTAAGAGAGCAGTAGGTAGAAGGATCGCTTGTGGCCAAGAACTAGACTGGCATCAATAGTGAGATCCTATCTCTACATTTTTTTTTTAAATTGTTAGCCCACTGTGGTGGTGAACACCTGTAGTCCCAGCTACTTGAGAGACTAAGGCTGAAGTCCATTGATCTCAGCAGATGGAGTGGGCTGTATTCCTGCCTCTCCTGCCACTGTCTCCAGCATCCTGGGTGAGATATGGTTTCTGGAAAAACAAACAAACAAACAAATAACAACAACAACAAAAATCTAATTCAATTTTAGAATATTTTTTATCATCCAAAGAACAAGAAACCCCATTCCTAGTCTATCTTGGCACCTATTCCCAGTTCTAGGCAACAACAAATCTACTCTCTGCCTATAAAATTTGGGTTTTTTTATGGAAACATTATATTTTTTTTTAAAAAATCAAATAATAAGTGGACTTTGGCATCTAGACTCTTTCATATGGCATAATATATTTGAAGTTCAACTATGTAAACTATATTATTATTGTTTTCCTTTATACTGCTGGGTAGGATTCTATTATGTTCCTATGTCACATGTTTACCCCTTAACCAACTGATGGACACTTGGGTTGTTTCTAATCTTTATATATTTTGAATGATGCCAGTTTGCTAAGTCTCTTGGGATTTTTTGTTTGCTTACTGTACTTTTTTTAACTCTAACATTTCCATTGGGTTTCATTTTTTGTAATATCTGTATCTTTAATTAATGTTTCGATTTGAAGAGTCATTATTTCTATACTTTATTGCTGAAACATAGTTTCCTTTAGTTCTTTTGACATGTTGATAATAGATGTTTTGAAATCTTTGCAACTTCTGGGGTGAGATGATTTTGACAATATCTAGGCCACATAAAGGACTTACTTATTCGTTTGCGTATTTTTTTCTTTAGTGTATGTCGTACTTTTCTATTCCTTTGCATATATCCTACATTTTTATTGAAAACTAGAAATCAAATACAATATATTTTAGCAACTCTGTATTTTCATACTCCTACAGGAGTTATTATTGTTCCTATGTTTCTTAGTTTAGCAACTTGACTGAGAGGGCTTTCTTCGTTGTGGTACATGAATGCTGATGCCTTATTATTTTTTTTTTCTCATTTTATTTTGATGTTGGTTTCCAAGATATCACCCCTGGTGTTGTTAGAGTGGTGCAGTGGTTCAAAGTAATCCCTGAAATAATTGAGAAGAATAAGCAAAGATTTAGCAAGAAAAAAGAAAATTTATTATTGACTTGCACAGCAAGCCATGCCTATCATGGTGACTGCAGGCTCTGTAAAAAGTGCAGTTTGGTGTTTTATGCATGACTTTGAGGCATATCAGCTGCTTCCTCTGTTCTCAAAACAATCCACCTGCAAGGTCTTGATAACAACTCTCCTGCAACATCTTAGTCAACCTCATTCCCCTAACAGCCTAGGTTAGCCTGACTTAAACCAATTCCAAATACCCTAACCATATGTGTAATCCACCCTGCTACATCTAGCTAACTGCCTAAATGTGTGATTAGCTGGAGGTTGTGCTTAAATGCTTTGACCATTAAGTCTTCTTCCCTCTGTCATTGGATCTATGTATTCACTGGGAAACACACTCAAAGTTTAGGCAATTGTAAATCAACTACAGCTTTAATATATTCTGGTCTTCCTGTTTTCTCTTCTGCTCACACACAAAGGCTCTCATTTAACCACAGATTTGTAGATAACTTAGACTTTCTTCTATCTCCCTAGATCATGTGTACAGATTTGTTCATTCAAAGAACCTTTCAGAGAGCCAGGAATATGTAGCAGATTACCATAGCCCACTATGGTTGTCTCATTCCCATGGTCTGCTGGTTGTTTGTCCTAATCAGTTCCTCAAACTCAGGCTAGCTGTGCTACGGGCCTTCCCTGCTTCCTTGTTCATATGTCACAGAGATCATAATTGTTTACACAAGTCTAGGTCAAGGAAGTTCTCTGGCTGCCATTACAAACCAGGCCATCTCCACTGACAGTGAAACCTCTTTCCTTCCTAGCTTGCTCCACCCTGATAGAATTATAATGCCCAGAGAGGGAAAGGCTAAGAAAGCAGCCTGAGGCTGAAGCATCACAAATAACCAGAGTTATAGCTGAGGTTTAGTAGTTGTTCTTACATAAATGTTTTTCTATTTGTTACATTCCTTCAGTCAATTTCCAGTGGTTCTCAATAGAGGGTTTTTTCTCCCCTTGTCCGGAGGGCATTTGGTAATATCAAGACACAAGTTTGAGTGTCCTGACAAAAAGCGAGTTGCTGTTGGTAACTAGTAGGTAGAGGTTAGGGATATTGCTAACTAGCCTCAGTGCATACAATGACCTGTGAAAACGTGGCCAAAAATTGTATAGTTCAAAATTTCAGTAATGTTGAGTCCTAGTCCATTTATGTGTGGATATTTTTCAATAAAAGTTACACCATGTGTGACTCTCCTGCCTCTCTTTTCACCTTCTCCACCTATTCTCTCGGCCACTCCTAGGATGGCCATACCAACCCTTCTTCTACCTGTTCCTTCTCAGCCTACTCAAAGATAACTAAATGGAGACTTTTATAGTGACTCACTTCTGCTTAATCAATAATAAATATATTTTCTTTTTTTATGATTTTCTTAATTTTTTTTTGTTCTCACTGACTTTACTGTAAGAAAATAGTGTATAATACGTACAGGGTGCAAAATACATGTTAACTGACTTTATGTTATCTGTAAGGCTTCCCGCCAACAATAGGCTATTAGTAATTAAGTTTTGGGGAACTTTTACTGTGTGAGGGGTCAGTACTTCTAACTCCTATATTGTTAAAGTTCAACTGTACTGAAATACAAAAAGTCAAGTGTCTTATAAAGGGGAAATAGCAAAAATCTCCAACAATTGCAGAGGAAAGCTATAACAGAATAAAATAGAAAACATTGCAAAGTATAACAACAACCACCAAAACAGAATTATAGGGAAACACAAAGGTAAATTATTGAAAAAAAAAAACTGACCTATTAAATAAAATGTATTTTACAAAAGTCATAGAGAGAATTATAAATAAACCATACAGAGTGAAAAAAATAAATACAAGTCACAAAAATAATGAGAAACTTATTCCCATTGAATAAATATGTATATATATCCCAATTAAAATATGAGTAATATGAAAGTGTAACAAAGTTGCCAAATATAAAATCAACTTATATATTTAATAGCATTTTATATTAGCAATAGTCAGTGCATTTATAAAAATAATAGCAACAAAAATATGGAAGTGTTGAGGAATTTAAAAATATGTATCTAGAAGCTGTTAAAACCCTGCAAAGACATAAAAGAAGTTCACATTAAATGGAGGCATTTTCTATAATGGAGAAGTTCACATTAAATGGAGGCAATTTCTATAAGATCTCTCAATATAATATGCAAATTAACATGTATATTTAATCTATAATCAAAGTGGAGCTATATTTTATGACAGCTTTATTCCAAAATATATATGATAGCTTATATGTGGATTTTCTTTTCAGTAAATGTTTAGAGTTTATTTTAATAAGGAAAAAAGATTTGCTTCACCAAATTAGACACGTCACAGTTGGACTAGATGATTATAACAGAATGGTGCTATGAAAAAATAGACAAAGGAATCAATGGAGAAGAAGAGAGACATATATTAGAATTTAGTATAGGTGTGGTACAAAAATTCTTTGGTGAAATGACAGATTATTTAGTTGATAATGTTAAAGAACTAGCTTTAAAGTAGGAAAAAAAATTGTTAGATTATCACCTAACATTATACAAGCATGCCAGATACATAAAAGCAC